CTATCCTCTTACTTGGCTTTCCCTTCTCTGCTGCTTAGGGCCTCGGGTTTTGGGTGTAGGGTTTAGGTTTAGGGTTTAGGCTTTAGTCTAGCCCCTGAACCCTAAACCCCAAAGCCTGAAAGGGCTTGCGAATCTTTGGCCATCCCAGGTAACGCAGGAGCAAATTCCGTGTGACCGGAAGCTCATCTATGAGATGCTGCAGAGCCACTTGATTGTTGAATGAGATGTCTTTTCAATGCAGGACCAATCAGTAAAATGTGAGTATGAATAAATGACTACAAAAACTGTATGTATACATTTTTAAAATCATGTAGTTCAAGTTGTCCACGCTCGAAGTCCTGCTCCATCGCGAACCCGAAATCCAGATTAAACAAGATTCTGTGCTCGTGCAGCTTCTTGGCGGTTCTGACTTAGTGGTCAAGATCAGCTTTCCTACGCACCTTGCAAAGCCGTATCCCCAAACCCGAAACCAACACCTTAAATCATGCATCTTCCAGGAAGCAATACCCGCAGGTACACCCTCGATCGATCCGAAACTCTACCCGTACAGCCATACCATGACTCAAAAAAGCTTTCGCCGCACACTGCCAAGGCGGTACCCCCCAAAGCGAAACTTCTGGAAGCCAGCGAAATGCCTGCCACAACTATAGGGGCCTATATCATTAGCAAAACTATTCCTCATAGTTCCTTCTTATCATTGTACTAGAAAGGACCCCCAATCCCTATTCCAATGGTTAAGGCCCCTACATAAACCCCTTCCAAGATCCCTCGAACGACCCCTTCAACACAGTCCTTCAACTCTGGGCCTGTCCTCAACCCAAAGCCCTAAACCCTGGTTTAGGGTTTAGGGCTTAGGGTTTGGAGTTTAGGAGGCCCAAACCCCGAACAAGCTGATCTTTAGAGCCTGAAGCTTGGACTCAAGGCTGGTTTCAGCCTGTCAAGAGCGCGGAGGTGCGTCGGGGGTGAGTAATACAGGCGCCTAAATAAGTACCAATACTAGAGTTTGGTACTGCTCAATATGATTAGAGTATGATACACTCCCAACACCTGGTTGAATTTGTTAAAGCTCCTCCATTAGGATTCAGGGTTTGGGGTCTTTCGGCTGCAGTACAGGGATCTGAGTAGCTGCTGCTGGTAATGTCCCCTGGAAATCCCTACTGTAAGTATGCTTCTTCTTGTTATGAAGTATTATGAAGGCCTCTACGTTAGGGGTCCGGACGACAGAGCTCTGAGTGAAATCGGGTCTAGGATCCATAATCGGGTTTAAACGATAAGGTGTTTCGAGTTTAGGGTTTCGGGTTTTAGGGTTTAGGGTTCCGGTGGTTGTCGGAATCATAATTCGGAGTCCCGGTGAAGATGCTACAAGACGACTCACTCTTGTAGTAAGAGGGGTTTAAGGCTTAGGGATAAGGGTTAGGCCCTAAACCCGAAACCCTAAACCCTTAGCTGTAGGAGTCCCGCCCACTTAACCCTAACTAATTAAAATCCAGCTCGACCCAGAATCCTCTATCCCCCCTTTATGTGCTCTCGTGGAACCCCTCTAGAAACGCTAAGAGATACCTTATATATAGCCCTTATATATATATATACACAGAGATAGATAGTAGATAGATAGATAGATGGATGGATGGATGGATAGATAGATAGATAGATAGATAGATAGACAGTCGGATAGGTAGATAGATAGATAGATAGATAGATAGATAGATAGGTAGGTAGGTAGGTAGGTAGGTAGGTAGGTAGGTAGGTAGGTAGGTAGGTAGGTAGGTAGAAAGGTAGGCAGATAGATAGATAGATAGATAGATAGATCGATCGAAGCGTTCCAGAAGAGTTCTCGAAGGCTTCTCCCGGGCCTCCTTTTGAAGACTGAGCCAAGAAAGATTGGTAAAAAGGGTGCCCTCGTTCCTTGTTGTGAACGGATTAGTGGTTTAGGGTATCGGCTTTAGGGAACCCCAAAATCAGCGGAGTCGAGTTCGTTCAGGGTTTAGAAAACCCCTAAACCCTAAGCCCGTTTAGGGTTTAGCAAGGGGCTCGGCTCCGGTTGCTGGTCCTTGGCCAGGTGGACTTCTATTCACGGGGTGTTGATGACTTGAGATTCCATTTCACATGTGAGATATGTTCCTCAGACACAACGAACCCCTTCCGATAGCTCCTCACCTTGATCGCAGAAAAGGCGCTCTATGCCCTAAGCCCCGAAGCCCTGAACCCTATAGGCCCCAGACGTAAACCCATGTTGAAACCATGCAGATATTTTACAGGAAGCCTTGTAAAAGCTCTGTTATAGACCTGTATGTAGCAACCCGTGTAGGCACTGAACCCTACATAAACCTGGAGGCCCTGATCACAAAAGGCTCTGAACCCTAAACCCTAACTCCGTATCCACCATTATACACCCTCACTGCCCTAATTCCTCAGCGAACCCAAAACATCCCAGAACCTCTCAATGGGCCGGTCCTGGCCAATTTCCCTCACGGCCTTTCAAAAGGGCATTTTGGGGCTGATCCATGCTTTTTCAGTGACAAACTTCGAAGCAATTTAGGGCTTAGGGTTGAGGGTTTAGGGCTTAGGGTTTAGGGTTCAGGGTTTAGGGTTCAGGGTTTAGGGTTTAGGGCTTAGGGTTTAGGGTTCAGGGTTTAGGGTTTATGGGTGTGCGCCGTGGTCGCTCGCGCC